CGACGTCTCATTGACTGGCAGCTTTCCGTTCCCTATGTCCAGTACGTCGGCTGAGTCATCGTTCTGTAACTGGACACGCATATTCGTCTTCAACTGTAATATACGTACATTTAGAATATTTTAGGCAAGCATTTATCTCGTCAGCTGGTGTCGATCGGGAAATCACAGGCAACCTTTGCCTGAAATACCCTGCGAGCAATATTAACGCATTCCCAAATGGTTGGACAGCTCCACGCAAATCCCGCAATAATCGATCGAGAGCTTCCAGCGATTTTTTGTGTGCCATTGTGCATTCATCCCAAACAATGAGTTTACATCTTTGCAATACTTTTCCCATGACAGATGCTCAGGAAATGTTGCACGTAGGAGTCTCGATGATTTGCATGTTCAACGGCAACTTCAGCGCTGAATGAGCAGTCCTCCCACCAGGTAACAATGCAGCGATTCCAGATGAAGCAAGAGCTAAAGCTATGTCCTTGTTAGCTCGAACCGTAGCCAGAATCAATGTAATTAGGAATGTTTTCCCCGTTCCTCCTGGAGCATCCAAGCTTCAGCTACCCTTGCCCTGTCGCGTTCATTATTTTGAAAGTGAATCAAATCGATTGCTGCAGAACGCGACTGCCTAACTCTCAATCGTTTTCTCTCAAGCCTATATGCTCGTTTTTCTGCTTATTCCGCGTTGTGCATCTGCATTGCTCTTAGCCGCTCAGTCTCTCGGATGGAGGCCCGCTCTTCGTCAGTCATATTCCTAATCTTACTTCGTTTTCCTTCTGTATTGCGAGTACGACGACCCAAACTCGACTTCTTGGGTGGCATGACTTCGTTTCTTACTGAACCTGAACAAAAAAATAAAATCTTTATCTCCAATTTCTTCTTTCAATATGTTTTGAGACTTTGACAGGAAATACTTTGATTCAGCTGGCTGCCTGTAGAGGGCGCAGCGGTAGGGGCACGGGGAAACGCAAAAAAAACTGATATACTCGCAAATGCAGATAAGCTATCAACACCAAAATTAGACAATAACCGAGCTGGAACCTCAACGCATGTTGTGTAAAAATTTGGGCATTATTTACTTTAAGTTCTAATTCCCCCATTAAATATACTTTGCGCATGCGGCAATCCTCTCCTCTGCCATTCTACTGAATACATCCAGCACCGCACAGATCCAAAAACTCCATGTTTCACAATGAAATCCATCACTGACTTGAGCTTTTGTCTGAAAACACGGGCTGTGATGTCATGCCTATCCCTATACGATTGTCCAGGAAATAACAGCTGTACTATCTCGTCCCAAGCTGGATTGCATGTGAAGGTGATAAATAAGTCTGGACGGCCGTAGCAACGAACATATGCCATGTCATTTTGACCATATTTATGCATGTGGCGTGGACTACCTATGTATGAGGATGGCAAAATCGTGAGCTTTCCAACGTTGGTTGTATTACGGTCATTCATCACAGCATCCCGCAAATGGATATATTCCTCGGACCGAAGTTTCGTCTGATTCAATCGAAGGAGCCTGACAGTATATGCAGACCTGATGCATCCGGCCAATAACGACATTGCGATTCGAGCTGTAATCAACAGTTGGATTATATCTGAATGCAAGACGATTGTGTTGCAGGTTTTGATCTGCTGCAAGCTGTAAACGCGCTTCAGGTACCCTTGCCCTGTCGCGTTCATTATTTTGAGAGTGAATCAAATCGATTGCTGCAGAACGCGACTGCCTAACTCTCAATCGTTTTCTCTCAAGCCTATCTGCTCGTCTTTCTGCTGATTCCTCGTTGTGCATCTGCATTGCTTTCAGCCGCTCAGTCTCTCGGATGGAGGCCCGTTCTTCGTCAGTCATATTCGTAATCTTACGTCTGTTTGCTTCTGTATTGCGAGTACGAAGACCCAAACTCGACTTCTTGGGTGGCATGACTTCGTTTCTGACTGAACCTGAACAAAAAAAAAAATTTTATCTCCAATTTCTTCTTTCAATATGTTTTGAATGTTTGACAGAATATGCTTTGATTCAGCTGGCTGCCTGTAGAGGGCGCAGCAGTAGGGGCACGAGGAAACGCGAAAAAAAAAATTGATATATTTGCAAATGCAGATAAGCTATCAACATCAAAAGTAGACAATAACAGAGCTAGAACCTCAACGCATGTTGTGTAAAAATTTGGGCTTAAACGGTTCAGAACTTTTCAAGTTTCTTTTTTCAATATGTTTTGAATGTTTGACAGGAAATGCTTCGATTCAAGTGGCTGCCTATAGAGGGCGCAGCAGTAGGGGCACGGGGAAACGCGAAAAAAATTGGATATATTCGCAAATGCAGATAACATCAAAAGTAGACAATAACCGAGCTGGAACCTCAACGCATGTTGTGTAAAAATTTGGGCTTAAACGGTTCAGAACTTTTCAAGTCTATGAAGGAAGTAGACACGAACAGAGCATTTTTATATATATAGATTTTGTGTAAAATTTTATGAAAATCGGACTACTATATAATATAGCTCCCATAGGAACGATCGAGAAATTAATTCAATTAAATATTATAACTTTTTCAGTTTTCAACAGATTTTCATCAAATTTGAGATATAGCCATTTTATATAAGTTTTAAATTATGTTGAAAACTGAAAAAATTATAATTTTTAGTTTTCTTAATTTCTCGATCGTTGTGACATAGCAATTGCGCATGTCAAATATGTCGATTAAGCATTTTCTATGCCCAGTTTACTCATCCGGGATCATATTACCGGGCACTTCGAACTGCTTGAGTCATGGATTTGTTTATTGTGGCCAAGTACTACAATGTGTTTGTAATAAAATTAATGCGTAACACTGAGTACAGAGTGCATTCGATATGTGGGCATACTCTATACTCATACTCCCTCTATTTTAGAAAAATAACATAATCATATGAAGTACCCTTGCAGGGTATTATAATTTCAGTCAGAAGTTTGCAACGCAGTGAACGAGGCACCTCCGACCATATAAAGTATATATATTCTTGATCAGGATGAACAGCCGAATCGATCTAGACATGTCCGTCTGACCGTCTGTCCGTTTCTACGCAAACAAGTCTTTCAGTTTTGTAGCTTTTTGAATGAAACTTTGTAGTTAGTCTTTTACATACTCTCACTCGGATCGGACGACTATATCATATAGCTGCCATAGGAAAAAAAATTATAACATTTTCAGTTTTTAACAGAATTCAATAAAATTATGAGGTATAGGCATTTCAAATTATTCTACAATTTTGTCTAAAGTTTTATGAAAATCGGACTACTATATCATATAGCTCCCATAGGAACGATCGAGAATTTAATTCAATTAAATATTATAACTTTTTCAGTTTTGAACAGATTTTCATCAAATTTGAGATATAGCCATTTTATATAAGTTTTAAATGTCGAATTTTATGAAAATCGGACGACTATATCATATAGGTGCATTACAAACGATCGTTAGAAGTGGAGGAAAAATGGAAGTTAGCCGAAGTTAGCTTCCCTTCCTGTTTTTTTTAAATTTATTTTATTTATTTTACGGAATTTTGAGTAAAATTAAATATTCATTTTTATTCCGTTTATTTATTCGGTTTTTATTATTAAGATCTTGTGTATGGCCGTACTGTTTTTAAGTGTTAGAACAATTAAATGGTATATGAAATATATAAAGTTATAGGAACATGTAAATTTAATGCAATATATTAATGTACAGTTTGATTTTTGTTTTTTGTATTTAAAAGTATTATGTTATTGTTAGGTTCTATCTGTCTGTACCGTATAGGGTCCTGTATATGTATAGTCTAGCTATTGGCCATTTTTTAATAAAACCTGGACTTCTATTTGTAATTCAAAGTCTAAACTATTTTCGTTGTCTATCTTTTTGTTTTTGTTTATCAGTTTCTAGCATTATTCTGGCTATTATATGCCTGTTCTAATCTAAATTTAGATTCCATCGCATAATCTTCTATATTACATAATGTTGGGTCATCAGTCGAAAGGGTACACAGGGGGATCAACGAATGACTGTGTCATCTGCTGACCAATTGTAGTCGGGCGGACCTAGGCAAGTCTTTAAACAGCCTCCCCTCAAGTCAGGTTTGTAACGCTACCCGCGCTTACTAACTGACTTCCAGGTTCGCAGCTGAGGGGTTAATCCAGCTGTGTCTGTACGAAACCTTCCCAGGGCCAGGCATCCCTGGGTCGTAAGTGGGCTTGCCGCATTTTTGGGGCGAAGCTGCGGTCGATCTGTTTTCGATGCCCGATCATAAATGAATACTTCAAACCGAGCTTCAGAACTCCTGGGAGAGGATAAACCCCAAAAACAGTCGACGAAGGACGAGAAGGAGATGCTGAGATGCTCCTTAAAGCGGGCCCTCAGGGACCCCAGAGTGCGGATCTACTCGGATAGCCAAACTCACGGACAGTTGCAGAATGCAAGAAGGCCCTTAATAGACTTGCTGATAAAAATGTTGTACAAGTAACCGGGACACAGCGAGATCCCGGGAAATGAGAAAGCAGACGAACTAGCCCGTGCAGGCTCGTTAAGTGTTCTGATAATGATGTGCAGTCGAATTTATGTTTTTGATATCTTAATTTTTACATAAATCCTCAATTATTGAATTTTTATATTCTGTTCCCAAGTCCGTAATGAATGTCTTCATTGGACCGTGCTTCAGAATAAAATCTTTTAATATAGCTTTTGCTATTTGTCCGGAGCAGAAGCAGCAGATTTAATATTAAATGTTTTAAATCATTATTTGTAAACAAGCGATCAGCTGCGGCAGAAGCTTTCCACCTCATAAGCCGGCATGAAAGCTCTTCGGCCGCAGCTCTTCTGTTTGGTTTATCTATTCTCTCGTTTCATTCGCTCACTTACGTTGAAACTAAAAACACACAAAATTTTGTAACCAAACCACACACAAGCACACACAAATTAAAACATAACTAATTTTACGCCAACACAAAACAAACCCCTCGCTAAATCAATTCGCTTAATAGGTGGCATAAATTAATGCCCTCCTCAAAACATTTGGTGACCCCGACGTGATCGCGTAAAAAATCGTTTTCGTTAAAATAAAAGGTGAAAAGTGCTTATATATAGTTCGTATGCTCACACAATACAATTGCATATCGTTGCATCGCTATTGAACTTTATCGGTAAATTCGAGTACATAGCATCTCTTTATATATTTGTGCACTAGCATATAGTTGCAGCCCTTTTATATACTTTTCGTGCAAATTGTGTTTGTGCTGTTGGTTTTGGTGGTCCGATAGAACCGTTAGCTCGCGGTCAGTGAACGCCAAGCTTGGCTCCGCTATTCTTTCGTTCTCTATTCTCTGCGTTTGGTACAGCTGCATCGGTCGCAAACCCAAGGTGACATTTGAATACTCTTTTTGAAAATAAAATGGCAGAGAATGATTCGGTAACTGCGTGCCCATCCGGGGCCAATAGTGATTTTGACTTTTATAAAGCCAAAGCGGACTCGGTTTTTCGACAGCTAGTGGCTTTAAATGACTTTTTCGGTTCAGAAGAGGCGTCTCATTTTGACGAGGCCGACCTTCAAGTCAGGCTTGAGCTTATTGAAAAAATGCAAGATAATTTTGATAAGTCTCAAACAGCTGTCGAAAGGCTCAATCTACTAGAGCTGGCTAGTGATGTGCGTGCAAAATTCCTAAACATTTATTGTGCGGTGAAATCCAAAATATCTCGCGAACTAGCAAAACTCCGCCGAGTGTCAGTGATAAATTCGACTGCACTCCCAAATTTCAACATCGAGCAGGCTTCAACCTCCAGGGCTGGTGTCCGGGCCACTAGGCTGCCTGAGTTTAAGCTGCCACGATTTGGAGGCGCTTATATGGACTGGCCAGATTTCTACGCTATGTACACTACAGTCATCGGCAACAACGAGGACCTGACCAATTTGGAAAAATTCCAGCATCTACGCTCCTGTTTGGATGGCCCCGCGTTAGACACAATTCGCTCGCTGGAGCCAACAGAGGCCAATTATGAGAAGGCAGTCGACCTATTGACTGCTAGGTTTGATAACAAACTTTTGCATTTTCAGGGGCACATACGATCTATTTTCAGGCTTTCTAGTGTGGTGAAAGGGTCGGCAAGGAGTTTGCGGCAATTGAGCGACGGCATCAACTCTCATCTGCGAGCCCTTAACACAATGGCAACCACCCAGGAGATTGCGGATGGAATGCTCATATCCCTGGTGTCCTCCAAACTGGATCAGAATACCCAGGAGAAGTGGGAAGAGGGATTGCCTACCAATAAGCTGCTAAAATGGACGGATATGGCTGCCTTTTTGGAGAAGAGATGTCGGATGATGGAAAACATTGAAAATGCTATGGTAACCCACACACCTAGCAACCAGGTGGGAAAAACTATAAATAAAAATGTCCAAAACGCTTGCACCGCATCATCCTACACCTCATTATGTATTTTGTGTGATTGTAAGGATCACTTTATTTCGAAATGTCCACAATTTATTGCCTTGAGTCCCACACTACGCTACAAAGAAGCAAAAAGGCTACATCTTTGCCTAAATTGCCTGCGTAAAGGCCACAGCATGCAGCAGTGCAAAGCTGGGAACTGCAGGCATTGTCGCTCTAAGCATCATACATTGCTACATTTGGAGTCAAATCCTGCCTCATCACCCTCGCAGCCCACATCCACTCCTGCTCCTCAAAATAGTGCCTCGCTCATTTCTGCTTCGCCAAATTCACCCCCACCTAAAGCCTCGGTAGATCATCAATCTGATTATGTGCTTCTTGCCACTGCCATCATATATGTCCGAAATCGTTCCGGCATAATGGTGCCCTGCAGAGCCTTGCTCGACTCTGCATCGCAAATTAATTTCATTACTTCTCGACTCGCTCATCAATTGCAACTGTCAGCTCGTCGCTCAAATACATGCATCTCAGGTATAGGAGAGTCTTCACTCATGGCTGATAAGGCGGTAGATATTATTGTACAATCTCGTAACAAAGGTTACCGAACATCATTCGCTGCAATAATGACTAGCACCATCACAAATTATCAGCCGCATTTCGACCTAAACTCTTCCGAATGGAACATCCCCAGCAATTTATTCCTCGCCGATCCGCTCTTTCATAAAAGTCAAAGGATTGACATTCTTATAGGAGCTGGAATCTTCTTCGACCTGCTTTGCGTTGGGCAGATACGGCTGGCCGATCACCTTCCCTCCTTGCAAAAAACTAGATTGGGTTGGGTAGTATCCGGTGGCATATCTTCGCCGGCCCATAAACACTCTTCTCTTCCCGCATTGTCAGTTGAGCACGATGTACAATTGGAACCTGAATCGTTGCCGGACCTTGTCAAACGGTTTTGGGAAATTGACAGCTATTGTGGATCGTCATCTGCTCCAACTGATGAGGATGCCTTGTGCGAGAATTTATTTGCTCAATCTTATTCTCGGCTTGAGTCAGGCTAATATTCAGTTCGATTGCCCGCAAAGACTAGTCTCGATATGCTAGGAGATTCATACCATCGTGCTTCGCAGCGATTCAAATCATTGGAATCCAAATTGGCTGGAAATCCTAATCTCAAGGCTCAATATATTGCCTTTATAAAGGAGTATATCGATTTAGGCCATATGTCGCTCTCTTGCAAGCAGTCAGCTTTGCCGCAATATTATTTGCCCCACCACTGCGTTCACAAATTGGACAGCTCGACTACCAAGCTCAGGGTAGTCTTCGATGGTTCTGCCAAGTCTTCGTCTGGATACTCTTTAAACGAGTTGCTCTTTGCTGGTCCCTCCATTCAGCCTAAAATCTTCAGCACTTTGGTTCGGTTCAGATTCTTTAAAGTGGCACTATGCGGCGACATCTGCAAAATGTATCGCTGTGTGCGTGTCTCCGAACCTGATAATCTGCTCCAATGCATCCTCTGGCGTGATAGTCCAAGCGAAGAAATTAAAATATACACCCTGGACACCGTCACCTATGGCACTAAGCCTGCTGCATTCCTAGCAATTCGTGCTATGCAGCAGCTCTCCTATGATGAGGAGAAGGATTTTCCTGTGGCAGCCAAGATCGTGCGTAGGGACTTTTATGTTGACGACCTTATTTCTGGAGGCGACTCGATCGAGGAGGTCGTTTATATCCGGCAGCAGGTTAAATCGTTACTTGCAAAAGGCCTATTTCCAATTCGGAAATGGTGCTCCAATGAGCCGGCAGCGCTTGAAGGAGAACTTGAGGCTGATCGCGAGGAAATGTTCAAATTCAGTGATGGGACTGACGTCGCCAAAACCCTTGGCCTATACTGGGATACAAGTTCCGATAATTTGCTTTTTGGATTCTCTGGAAATGTAGCAGACAAGCCAGCTACCAAGCGGTCTATTTTATCAGCCGTAGCCAAATTCTACGATCCCCTAGGTCTTATAGCGCCCATTATAACCAGGCTCAAAATATTCCTGCAAATCCTGTGGAAAGATAAGCTCGACTGGGATGAGACTTTGCCACAATCTTTGCATTCCTTATGGTTGGAACACTCCGCGCAAATCTCGGCAGTCAGCCATTTAAAATTTCCTCGTTTCATCATGCAATCTGACTCATCTTTGGAAATTCATGGATTCTGTGATGCAAGCTTGGCGGCATATGGTGCCTGTATTTATGTGCGCTCCGAAGCAGGGGGCACCTACTCATCACATTTGCTTTGCTCCAAGTCTAGAGTCTCGCCGCTTAAAACAATAACCATACCCAAACTTGAATTATGCGCAGCTCTATTGCTATCCGAACTCATCCACAACATCGCTAATGCCATTTCTCAGCCTTGCACATATCATTGTTGGTCTGACTCAACAATTGTGCTCTCTTGGATTCGCCAGGCCCCATCAGACTTTAACATTTTTGTCTCCAACAGAATCGCGCAGATTCAAGAAAGGACCAAGGATATGGCTTGGCATCATATATCGACCCACTACAACCCGGCTGACATATTATCCAGAGGATGTACTCCGCTCGAACTTTTGGATTCGACGCTGTGGCGTGAGGGCCCACCATTCCTGCGGACAGACGAAGCTTGCTGGCCGCCTCATACGCCTACTCTAGTAGATGTGCCTGAACGCCGCCGCCTCGCGCTGGTGCTGACGCAAAGCCAGGATATTTCGTATGGCTGCAAGTTTCAAAATTGTTTTGGAAAGCTGCAGCGAGTCTTTGGCTACATACATCGGTTCCTAATGCTAAAAGCCAAGGATGAGCCACGACGGCGAGGACCTCTTACAGTAGACGACATCAAGGGAGGCACGCATCTGCTCATCAAGGGAATCCAGCTCATCAACTTTGCTGAGGAGTATAAGGCCCTGCAATCCGAAAGGCAGATTTCCTCAAAAAGCAAGCTGTACTCGCTGCATCCAATCTGCGATGAATCGGGACTTATTCGAGTTGGCGGTCGGCTGCAGAATTCATTATTGGATTATGATGCAAAACACCCAATTTTGCTTCCCAAGGATCATCCAGTCACGTCAGCAATCATAGCTCACTATCATTTGAAATTTCTTCACTCAGGCCCGCAGAGCTTATTGGCGGCCTTACGGCAAAGGTTTTGGCCAATTGGTGGTCGAAAAATAGTCGCCGCCACTATCAACAAATGCATTCGCTGCTTTCGATTAAAGCCCAAATTAGCTGAGCACATCATGGCCCCCTTGCCATCCAACCGCGTGCAGCCAAGTCGACCATTTGTCACAGTGGGAATCGATTTCTGTGGTCCTTTCTACTCCAAGTCTGAAGTCAGAAACCGGCCACCCGTCAAATGCTATATCGCAATATTTGTTTGCTTCGCCACTAAAGCCTGCCATTTGGAACTGGTGGAGGATTTGTCTGCGGCTTCATTCATCGCTGCCCTCAAGCGCTTCATAAGCCTAAGGGGCAAGCCTGGCACAATATGGTCCGATAACGCTACAAACTTCGTTGGAGCCAAAAACGAGCTGCTGGAACTGAGGCAACTGTTTCTCGCCGACCCTCAAAACAGCGATCTTCAGCAGGCCTTCGTTTCCATCGGGATCAAATGGCAATTTATTCCACCTCGTTCGCCTCATTTCGGCGGCCTATGGGAGGCTGCCGTCAAATCTGCAAAATATCATTTTCATCGGGTCGTTGGCAACACTATTCTCTCATTCAATGAGCTTCGCACTTTAGTTTATGAAATTTCAGCGATGCTTAAGTCTCGACCGCTCTGTCCAATTTCAGAAAACCCTAACGATTTGGATGTCCTTACACCTGGTCACTTTTTGATTGGGTCTTCTTTCGCCACAATCGAGGAGCCCGACATCACGCACCTCAGCATCGATCGGCTGAGCCGCTGGCAACGAGTTTGCCAAATTCAGCAAATCATCTGGCGGAAGTGGAGTACCAGCTACCTCTCGCTTTTACAAGAGCGTGGGAAATGGCGTGCATCAAGGCCCAACATCCTACCGCATAGCATTGTGGTGCTCAAGGAGGACAACATCCCTCCACTTCAATGGCGTCTTGGCAGAGTGGAGAGCATTATCCATGGAGCTGACGGTGTGGCCCGTGTCGCTGTCATTCGGACAGCCACTGGCCTAATAAAAAGGGCTGTTGGCAAAATAGCTGTTCTACCCCTGGACACCACCTCATCTGGCAGCGTGCCGCATCCAGCGGGGGAGCATGTCGGGAGCAGAAGCAGCAGATTTAATATTAAATGTTTTAAATCATTATTTGTAAACAAGCGATCAGCTGCAGCAGAAGATTTCCACCTCATAAGCCGGCATGAAAGCTCTTCCGCCGCAGCTCTTCTGTTTGGTTTATCTATTCTCTCGTTTCATTCGCTCACTTACGTTGAAACTAAAAACACACAAAACTTTGTAACCAAACCACACACAAGCACACAATTAAAACATAACTAATTTTACGCCAACACAAAACAAACCCCTCGCTAAATCAATTCGCTTAATAGGTGGCATAAATTAATGCCCTCCTCAAAACACTATTTTTTCCCTGTTATTAGAAATTAATGTGGCTACAAGGTTTTTTTTAAACACAGATTAAAATATTTGTGTATTCATTTCATTTTGCTGACTTAGTGTAGCAGGCCAGTTAGGTTAAGTATGCTCTGGCCACTCTAATTGAGATGTGACGCTCTCTCAAAAGAGAGCATGAGAGAGCGACTGGCTGAGAATGGGGGTTGATTGAGTGGTTGCTGAGAGCGGCAGATCACTTGGTGAGAAGATCGGAACGAGAGTAGATGTGAATAAGACAATAAGTGTAAAAAGAGACAAGAGTGAAAAAAGATAAAACCAAGTATAAAAAGTTTCAGATTAAATAATAAAGAAAATATTAGTAAGAGACGAGAAGAATAAGAAGTGTTTACTAAAATACGGCTACAAACTTCAGAAGTGGGATCAGAATCAAAATTTTTTCTCATCATTTGGAAAAATAAAATAAAATAATGGATTTGAACATAGCGGATATAACGGTTGTGCAATTAAAACGGTGGTTGGAGCGGTTAAATTTGCCCACAAAGGGCACAAAAGCGGAGCTGTTCGCAAGGCTAGCCAAGGTCCCGATTGGGATTCGAGGCAGTGATCCGAAAGAGTGTGTGGAGATGGAAAAGTTAGGTGACACGGACGTGGAAATCGACGGTGAGCTGGAGATCGCCAAAGAAACTCTTGGAGAAACTGCCAATGCGAGAAAAATTCTGGCAAATTTGAATCGCCAGATCGGCGCCAATGTCGGCGGCAGCCAGAGCACCGAAGACGGCGGGAATGAAAGAGACGAAAATGCTCGAATTCGGCATGGTTCCGAGAAGGAATGACAGCTAGGCGTTAGAGTTGGCGACAGTGGCGGACGACGAAACAACGACGCCAACAACAACAGTTCTGAGAACTTTGATCAGCTACCTACCAGAAGTTTCCAGAACTCGCAACGAGGCGACGGCAGAGGCGACGGCAGAGGAGACGGCAGAGGCGACGTACAGCGAGATGGCGAAATAGCAACAGACAGTTTCGCAACACCGGGTTTTAACATGGCCAGAGAAATGCTAATGGACTTCGGCAGCAAGGTGTGCGATCGTGGATTGACCAGTGGGACAGTATTTCGGCCCTTCATAGATTAACGCACATGCAGCGGCGAATTCTGTTGATTATCAAGCTCAAGGGAGATTCCCTACAATGGCTGCATGCTGAGACCGGACGGTTGGCGAAGCCAATGGACGAGCTCATCGAAGAATTAAAGCTAGCTTTTGGGAGCACTGAGTCAAAAGCGGCATTAAGGCGCAAGTTTGAGGCACGCGTCTGGTCGCCGGACGAACAATTTGCGATGTACTTCGAGGAGAAGTGCAGATTGGCTCGGGATGTGGCAATGGAAGAGGATGAGCTGGTGGATGGACTTGTAGAGGGCATTCCATTACCAAGTCTTCGAATGCAGGCTAAAATGCAATGTTTTGATGCCCCGAGGAGAATGTTGCGAGCGTTTGCGGACATCAAGCTGCCAGCAAGGGCGTCAATTAAGGCGAAGGCGTCGGCGGCAAAGGCGGTTTCGACGAACAACGAAACTCGATGCTTCAACTGCAACGGCAAGGGGCACTGGAAGTGGGAGTGCACCAAGCCAAAGCGAGAGCCTGGTTCGTGTTATGGCTGTGGCGCAGAGGATCACCGTATTGCTGTATGTCCCCAGAATAAGGAGGTGGAAAACAATTATGTAAGAGTATTCAAAAATTTTTGTGTGAAAAATACGAACCAGCCTATTATTACAGAGTGCCAAATAGATTCGGGAAGCCCAGTTTCGCTCATAAAACGTTCTTGTATACCAACAAACATTAAGTTAGAACCTCTTAGAGAAAGTTATTTCGGATTAAACAAAAGCTTATTGAAAAGCTATGGAAAAATATTATGCTTTGTATTAAAAAATGAAATAAAGATTTGGTTTAAATTATTTGTTGTGGCTAGCGAATCTATGCTCTGTAATATTGTGCTGGGGCGAGATTTTATGAAAGCTTATAAATTAGAAATTAATTTAGAAACCTTAAAAATGATTACAATCGAGGAATGTAAAACCCAAGTCGGTCGTGATACAAACATTAGCTTAGTGAATGACAATACTAAGGACCCTTATGAATTGGATAGAGTATTAGATGGCGAAAATTTAGAAAGTGAAATTTTAGTAGACAAAAATTTAGATAAAGATAGTTTCAGTACAGATTTGGATCAAAAAGATTTAGAAACAATTTTAGGTGAGAACATTTAAGATACAAGTTTAGGAGAGAATCTTTTAGGTACAAGTTTAGATAAGGACATTTTAGGTACAAATTTAGGAGAAAATAATTTAGGTAAAAGTTTAGATGAGAACATTTTAGGTACAAAATTAGGATAAAATGGTTTAGGTAAAAGCTTAGGTGAATGTTTAGAAGATAATAATTTAGGTACAGATGTTATACGGGAACAAACTTTAGGTACAAAAGGGTTAGGTGAGGAACATCAAGGTGTGTTGGACGAAAATTTTGATAGGGAAATGATGGATATAAACATTTTAGAAAACTGTGAGGAAGAAAAACTTTATAATATTGGTGAGCAAATAAACTATAAGGATTGTGAAACGTTTATCAAGATGTTAGAGACGCATTATGTTCAAGTCAAGCGACCGGAAGTTCCGAAAATAAAATGCGAAATGAAAATAGTGTTAGAAAACTCAAAACCATTTAGCTGCGCACCAAGAAGACTGTCATATAGTGAGAAGGAAGCATTGTCAAAAATGTTAGACGAATATATTAGAGATGGGATTATTCAACCTAGTAAATCGGAGTATGCTTCTCCTATCGTATTAGTGAAGAAGAAGTCGGGTGAACTTAGACTTTGTATAGCTTTTAGAAAATTGAACAAAATAATGGCTAAGGACAATTATCCGATACCATTAATTGATGACCTTTTGGATAGCTTAGTGGGAAAATCAGTATTTACAAAATTGGATCTTAAGAATGGTTACTTTCATGTATTTGTCAACGAAGAGTCAGTGAAATATACGTCGTTTACCACCCCGTTAGGGCAGTTTGCGTTTCTACGGATGCCCATGGGTCTTAAAACAGCCCCACAGGTATTCCAGAGATTCGTCAATGACATATTTTCGGACATGATAAGAGAAAAGAAGGTAATCATATACATGGACGACATTTTAGTTGCAAGCAAAAGTTTAGAAGAACATTTAGATGTTGTAAAAGAAGTATTTAGAAGGTTAGTAGAAAACAAGTTAGAATTGAGAATGGATAAATGCAAATTTTTACAAGACAAGGTCAAATATTTAGGTTTTCTAATTTCAAAAGATGGGATTAAGGCTGATAGCAAGGGGCTAGAAGCTATACAAAATTTTCCGATCCCAGGCAAGGTGCAAGCAGTTCAAAGCTTTTTGGGTCTTTGTTCGTATTTTCGACGATTCATTAAGAATTTTTCTATATTAGCGAAACCATTATATGATTTATTGAGAAAGGATAGGCTTTTTAGGTTTGAAGAAGAAGAGTTGAATTGTTTTTCGCTTTTAAAGGCAAAGTTAATGGAAGCGCCAGTGTTAGCTTTATATGATTACAGAGATGATGTTGAACTTCATTGTGATGCAAGTGCCTTAGGATTTGGGGCTGTGCTTCTTCAGAAAAAAGATGACAGCAAGTTACATCCTATTTTCTATTTTTCGAAGAGATCAACTGCAACGGAAGCGAAGTATCACAGTTTTGAATTGGAGACTTTAGCTATAATATACGCTTTAAGAAGATTTAGAATATATTTGCTAGGCAAACGATTTAAAATTGTAACAGACTGTAACTCTCTAACTTTAACCCTCAATAAGATTGAGTTGAACCCAAGAATAGCAAGGTGGGCTCTAGAGCTGCAGGAATTCGATTATGAATTAAAGCACAGAGCAGGCAGACAAATGCAACATGTAGATGCATTGAGTAGATGCAACAATATTATGATAGTGGAGGCAAATACATTCGAAACAAATTTAGAAATTTGTCAATCAAAAGATGTCAAGGTTCAGGAAATTAGGAAAATGTTAGAAAGTAGCGAGCATAAGTTATATGAAATGAGAAATGGTGTGATCTATAGGAAAAGCAACGACAACAGATTATTGTTTTACGTACCGAATCGAATGGAGGAACATGTGCTATACAAGTATCATGATGAAATGGGTCATATTGGGAGAGATAAAATGTTAGAAGTTATTGGGA